GTGCACTATGCTATCACCACAGCTCATATGGGGTCCCACTAGGGGCTATGAATTTATCCCAAATGACCACTATAAAATGTCCCGAAGGACCACTGTATGTCCCGAAGGACCTATGAACCCTCGACTCTTGGCATGCCAACTATACCTCTAGCTCTCTTTACACATAACATGGGTATTAGTAATCTATCATGTCACATATTCACATGTACATATCACTGTTCATATGATTTCATATTCATATGTCACTTATCTTATAACACTTCCCATGTGTTCATATAACATGTATATCATTTTCATCTCTTGTTCACATATGTTCCTGTATATCATATATATCACATATGCACACAGATCATTTTCATATTCACATAGATCTTATCACTTAACTTATCCTTTATACTCATTTAATTTCTGAACTTATTTTATATTCTCTTATCATCACTTAGTAGTGTCTTTAAAGAAATCACATAGCACATACAAGAACAAATCAATTCATATAAATAAGCATACACACACTCATATTAAACACAAGTTACTATTTATAAATTCATACGCAACACTATAGGAAATAGACTTGTCGCAAGTCTTATTTCCATCAACCATCATATACTATCGAATATGCACTCACCTTGGCCTCACTAAGTTTTGATCCCCTCTTATGATTTCCTTTCTTTCGATCGAATCTTAACTTGATGATCATACCAGAACTTATTCGTGTTCGATATCTACATAATCATACATTGATACATATTAATATCCAATTAATATACTTTAATCTATCATTTCTTAGACCAAAAGAAAGGTTTATTTCTATTTCCCCTTGAAGTGCATTGATGCATTCTACAGTGTATCGATGCATCCCTTAACATGTACATCGATGCACTCCTTATGCATCGATGCACTAATTGCATTCGATGTTTCCATTTTTAAGGGGTGCATCGATGCACTTCCTGTACATCGATACACACTGAACAATTTCTGGAAATTTACCCTTGATGCATCGGTACATGATGAATGTGTACCGATGCACACTAGCCTAGAATTCTAATTTATGCCCGAAAATCCACTCTTTTCAGCTTAATTACTTCATATATCATCCCCTTTCTTATTCTTAACTTACATACTCATATTCAAACTCATTTCTATTCATTAATCACCTCTTTAACATCAAAATCCTATTCTCCATATGTAATTCAAGAATTACACTAAATTTTCAACATGTTCCAAATTTAATTCTATTGCTTCTAACTTCTTAATTAGACCCTTGACAAGTCAAATTCATCCTTAGAACTTCAAAAACCTTTTTATAATAAAAGTTCATTTATAAACTCTTAATAGAAATTCCTTTCTAATTATCTCTTCTTAGTGTTTTAAACTTATATAAGCTTTCCTTAAGCTTATATAACCCCCAAAGACTCAAATCCAACTTAAAAATTCAAGAAATCAATAGCTAAATCAAACTTACCTTTGCTCTTGGCTTCCACGTGAATAAGAAGAAAGGAGAAGAAGAGAACTCTGGAGAAATCTCACCCTTTCCACGTGGTTCCCTTTTCTTATAAAGGAAGAATAAAAATCTTACTTGTCAATTGACCATTTTACCTTTTAATTCATTCCATAATTACTAAATAACCTTCATCATATATTTCCAATAAATCATTGAACTATTCAATTATCCTACTTTAATCACCAATTTCTGAAATTTTTCAATCTAGTCACTAACATGATATTGAGGATGTTACAATATGGACCCTTAGGTGGACATTTATGCTTCAACTACAATAAGACCTTATGGACCCAAGGTTCTCCCTTTGGTCAGCACCTACGCCCTTTGAGCCTAGGATAAGTCCTTATGGATGCAGTTCTGTGGAACTGCATATGGCGTACGGTTGGAGGGTTGTTATGTATTTTAAACTACAACTCTACCATCGTCACGTGCGTGTAGGGCTCCTCCCTAGTTTTGAAACCTCCTATAACAGGATCGAGCCAACTCGAACCTGTCTGAGTCAACTCAGACCTGTTTGAGTCAACTTAGACTGGTCTGAGTCAACTTAGACCGAATTGAGTCAGCCCGAACTGACCTGAATTAACTCAAACCGGTCTGACCCATTGACTTTGACCTGACTGTTGATCATACCTATTGACTTTGACAAAAAAGTCAAAATTTTTGAAAAGTTATATTTTATGTTTTTCGACTTCCTGAGTCCGAATCCAAAGTCTGTTTTGCCAAATTCGAACCTTAAAGCCTCCAAATTGACCCGTTAAACTCGAATATACATCTAATTTGAGGGTCAAAGACTAAATATTATGTCGTTTAATTAAGGTATATGTGATTCTCCCGACCGTTCATCTGCTCGACCCAATTCCTCTCGATCCGCTCGTTTGCGAGAGCCCATGATTACTCGTATAGTTTTGAAACTCTGTTAAATACCCATTTTAGTATACTAATCCGATAATAACTTTGTTCTGATATGACTTAGGTTCTCATACAGTCGAAGAGCGTAGTGAAACTGGTGCTCGATAGATCTACCAGACTAATTTGTTTTGCGAGGTATGCTCTTTGTGTGCTATATACATATATCTATTTTAAATACATGTTCGAAATATTATGTGCACATGAGTATTTTACCTGATTTGCAATATAGCTAGCTGATGTGATTTAGTTTCGCATGATTTATCCGTTTCAAGCCTAATTTCCGATTTACTAAAGTTTTAAGCCTACTTGTCTGATTCATGTTTTTTGGTTACTGTTTTTACTAAATTGATATATGTTTGAGCTTTGATTTCCTTGCTACTGTTAGTTACTGTTTGAAAATGAATATCTTTGGGGTACTCTAGGATTTGGTATGAAGTCTCTGCAGGTTCAACTTCGATCAAGCTGGTAATTCCTCATGCATGTTCATCACCGATCAAGCTGTTAATTTCTTATAGACTTAAAGTGACCCTTGGGTGGGCTCCTGTGCCCATAGTGCCTAGTGGTAAGACCTTATGAACCCTAAGGTACTCCTTTAGGGTGGCTCATCTGCTATGTGCATTTGGTAAGTCCTTATGGGTTTGAGGGCACACCCCCTCAGGTAGGCACCTATGCTTCGACTAAGATAAGACCTTATGGACCCAAGGTGCTCCCTTAGGTTGGCACCTAGGCCTTTTGAGCCTAGGATAAGTCCTTATGGATGCAATTCTAGGGAACTGCATATGGCATACAGTTGGAGGGTTGTTCTGTATTTTAAACTACAACTCTACTATCATTTTCATAATTTTGATAATGAATCGATTTTGAAACTTATCTGTATGTTTTTATTTTGCACTGCTGGAACACACTGAGCTCCCTAGCTCACTCCCCCAAACTTTTATCTTTCAGATACTTTTTGATAGGCGACCCAAACCTGACACTTGGAGGATCGACACATTCGTACAATATCATTTTGTTGTAATGTTTTTATCTTCCGAGTTGCATTTATTTTGAGTGATATGTGCCTATATTTTGAAAATACTTGTTTTACGACATATGTTATTTTTGTTACTAATGTTAGATTTGCTTCGATACTGGTTATAAAATATTTTATTTTACTCAGTCCTTAATACTTTAATTTATTGAAATTGAAATTTAATGTTATCAACTATATTTTTAGAGATGTTTATTCGTAATATGGTTTTAAACTATTGAAATATGTTTTGGAAAATTTTTTATCGTAAGGGTCTAGGGGTTACACAAAGAGATTGGACTACAAACCCTTTTCCCAGTGAAGAGGGATGGCCGTGTCGACACAGTTACATTGGATGAGAAAACGATTAGGCGGTTGGGGACACTTGAATGGCCTGAGTTCAGTACCCGAGGTGTTGTTAACACTTACCAGAGAGAACCATTGCCGTGAGCGGGCAGTTGGAAAAGCACAAAGAAACGGGGGATAGTAGTTTGGGTGGACTAGTAAAGGTGTGAGAGTTAGAGAAAACAGAAAAGGAGGAAAGACAAGGAATCTGTAAACATGGCAATCCCAGTCACCATATTTGGGATTGGATGAGCTCAATCTCACCAAACGTTGGGGCTTCGAGTGCTTGAAAATAGATGGCAGGCCTTGGTCGTCACAATGGTCCTGCTCCCTCAAGATGATTCATGTTAGCTGAAAGGATGGTGAGCCTGTCCATGGCCAAATAAGACCTCCACCGTGTAGAAAATAGAGTACCCTTTTTATATCAATTAGGCGAAGGGATCACTTGGATGATCCCGTTTCTAACTCAATCATTCGGTCAGCAAAACTCCGTTTCATTTAATTTTTTTTAATTCAATTTGATTTAAAAAATTTGATTCTTTAATAAACTCAACTTGATCTGATTTTCTAAAAAATAAAGTTGAAGTTATAATAAGATTAAAATAACTCAAATTTTTTAGTAATTAATTAATTACTTTTTAAGTTTGAGTTAAATCTCTCATCTTTACAAGATATATGTACATTACATATGAAAAGATATAAAAAAATACATGTATATCATATATATACATATAGAAAGTTGTTTAAAATGAAACCAATTAGTATCACAACACTATAAAAATTTACAATTAAATTTAAATAGAGACTTGAACAACTTGAATAAAAAAATTTTAAATTATAAAATAAAAATCGTTAACTCTACTAACTCCAAATATTTTTAACTCATCGACTAACTCCAAAAATTTAAAAAAAAATTATATTTTTTTAATTCAATCTTATGTTAAAAAATTGACTCTTTAATAAACTCAATTTGATCTGATTTAAAAAAAATAAAGTTTAAGTTATAAAATGACTCAAATAACTCAACTTTTAGTAATTAATTAATTGATTAATTTTCAAGTGTAAGTTGAATCCCTCAACTTTACATGATATATATACATCACATATGAAAAGATATAAGGAAAAAAATATGTATATCATATATAGCTATAGGGAGTTGTTTAAATCGAAATTTAAACCAATTGTAACACTCGTTAACTCTGAACAATGGTTCCTATCTCTCATCTTGTGCATTAGGTAATTCCATAATTGATTCCGTTTACAAGGGAAAAACGAGCCTCTGATTGGAACATCCAACATGACCATCTTCTCAAAACCAAATATAAATTCTCATATTACTTTTCATCAAGTGAACACCTTACCCACAGGCTTGAAGTTAGGGGCCAATTTCAGCCGCAAAACCTCAAACAAAGCCATTTGAATCCCATCCATCAATAGGAGTAAGGCACACTCAAAATAGAACCAATTGCTGGCTCAACCGCAGAATTGGCTATTTTGCCAGACAGGCTTGATGGATTTATAACGTTTTATATTTCCTCTGAGTGTCCTTCAGGGCAAGCTTTCCTCCATTTTTCTTGCCTGTAGGAATAGCCTTCATAAGGACAACAGAAGAACCTCCCTTTCCCGATTTCCGAGGTAATCTGGAGAAAGGAAACCTGGATGAATTAAATTTCAACCACATTCAAATCAAGTATATTAAAATGATTGATTAATGGAAGAAAATAAGAAAGAATGAAAGAAAAAGAAACTGTGGTAATTTGCTGGTTTGCTTGCCTCTTTCTAAGAACTTGGGTAAGATCATCAGCTGCCTCATTGTGAACTTCTTCCCTTTTATCATCTGGAGCATTCCATCCCTTGCATAGAAGATGAATATATAAACAAGTTAGAATTACTTTTCATTAACCTCTTGATGGTTAACACACTTGCTGACAATGGTCGCATTCTCTCCCCTGCGTGAATCATCAAAAAGCTATCAACATACACATATAAATGACCGATCCATAAAAACCATATTCAACTGGTTGTTCAACCGAAGAACACATACATATATAACCAACGTTTTCAGTGAATAACTAAAAGGGTCAACTTTTTTATAAGAAAACAAAATTTACTTCCACCAAGGAGCAAACTGAAGATCAAACCAAATGCCTCGAGGAACTCAAAACAATAACTCAACAAGGAGGAACAACATTCAGGATAGTTGAATTCATATAAATTTTCATTGCTGACTGAAAAAACTGAATACCGATAGCCTCTAAATCTCGGGAAGAAAAATTGTAACTAGATTTTCATGTCAAAACTACACATTTATCACGACTGGCATAAATAGCACAAGTTTTACACAGAACTGAAAGCATACTAGAAATTCAAAGGACGCGTCTCCATATGAAAGAAGCTTTTATAAGAAGCTCAATAACCAAATTGCTATTAGTGACCTTCAGAGTACAGAAAACAATAAATAAAAAAAAGGTACTATCTCTTCTGTCATTTCTCAGAACCAAAATTAAATCATTTGCATCTTAGAAAATCTGAACCATGCAGTCACTTTGCGCCATAAGTTTAATTAGTACCTACCTATATATTGAGCTATGTTTTGAATTAATCACCAAACATCAAATTAGAATATCCCCGTGGAATTTAATAAAACAATGCTTGAAGAGAACTAAACAAATCATTTATCAGATTCAAGATCATATGCTGAAACATAAAACTGAATACTAGTATGTTACTCAAACTCTTCATTTGTACAGTACTCATGTCCAATTCACATCTTGACATAGCTCCCATACTGTCTTATAAAAAATCCTCCAAATATAAGGAAAAAAATCGGAAAAAAGCACAAATATACCCATATCAAATACATACACGTATCCAACACTGGCACACCAGACTAAGTTACATGGGAACTCTATCCCCTCTTCAGCAGAAGAGGAAAAAAATGCATCAAGAATAGCTTAAGTTAACAGCATGAAGAACAGCCAGCAACTGTGGAAAGAACTAGAAAACAAGCAAATATGATATTGAGCCCAGGGTTCTCAATGTTATAAGGTAACAAGTTAAGATAAATAGAAAGCCAAAAGTAATATCTTCAGTGTTTTGAACAGCTTAAAACAACATCATACTTAGACAGCTTCAATCAAACCAAGAAAGTGTACCAGAACTGTATCCACTAGTGTGCAACATTATCATCACTCCCATTTAAGTAACCCAGAAAAATTTACCGGAATAGTGTCCAGTTGTGTTCTACATTATCATTATTCCCATCTAAGTAAATTCATTAGCTTACATAAACAACATAGAACATTGAGTCACAAGTGCAATACTGAACTCTTCAATGAAAAAATGAAAACAGAAAACAGAATGGTACTTGATTACTAATGACTGAACTTTTAAAAGCTCTCACTATGCATATCAATACACAAAGCTGAATCCAAGTTGACAAAATAGGCGTGATTGATTTAAAAGAATTATTAGAAAGGACATGAAACCTTAAATCTTACATGATTTGTAGGCGATCCACATTGTGTTCCACTAGTTTCTATCAGCTCCAAACTCGAAATCTTCCGTTTCTTATTACAAACACCATTGTCTTCAAATGGAGGAGGTGGTTTCCTCTTCTTTCTACCAATGGTGCGTGACTTTCCTTTCTTGTCTTTAACTTTCCAGATATTTTTCCTCCTGAAGATAAACTTGTCAGATTTCCATGCCTCGCAACTCGTGTCTATTACCGTAACTTCACTTCTCGAGTACCCAACCAGTTCCCTCTCTCCTTCTCCTTTGTCTTCTGCTTCTTCTTCTTCTTCTTCTTCTTCTTCTTCTTCTTCTTCTTCCTCCTCCTCCTCCTCCTTCCACGTTGTTATTTTCGCTCCTTTGTTCAGATTCCCTTTTCGCTTCTTCCCTTGAACTCGACGACCTCGTTGAAACGAAAATGTCCTTGTCTTTTCTCACGTTATCCGAACTGCTTTTCCATTCCTCGATAGAATTAACGTCGGGGGTATTGAAAATGCAAATTCTAGGGTTTGTCTGTTTCCTGGAAGATTTTTTCTGGGAAAATCTGGAGGTTGGGGCTTGTTCGCCCATGTTGAAGAGCTCCGACAGGACATTGGTCATTATACCAAACCATTTCTTGTCTACGGAAGGCTCGGCGGATGTCACCTCCGGAGTTGGCGGCGGCGGCTTGGGATTCTGGAGTTGTTTATCGTTGGAGTGAGTTGACTCGGCATTTGAATCCGGAGAATCGGAGGCATTGATGACCGGAGAAGCGGGAGAGTTGGGGTTTGAGAGGAAATGTTCGAGGTCAAGGTTGTCGGCGGCAGGGAACCCCTTGCTCGAACGAAGCCGGTCCAGCCAGTTCGAACCGGTCTTAGCGGTCGTGATAGAGCAGAGCATTGGGTAACGTCAGATTGAGCTGGTTCCACGAAACTTGTGAGAAAAAGAGCAAACGAAACGGGATCAAAACATAAAATAAAATAATATTGGGGGTTTTCTTACCAGGATAACAAAGGCCTGGGATGATTATGTACTGGATTATTAGGTCCATTTCATAGCCCAATTTAAAGGGCCTCCGCCTCTTTTATTTATTTTAAATTATTTTTTATTCTGATATTCATTTTAAATTAACTTTTGAATTAATATTTAATTTTATCATATAAGATAAGATGTGTTACATAAAAAATATTTTTAAAAGTACATTTTGTAAGATGTGTATTTTGCCTGCTTGATGATAACACGAATGCGTATTAAACTAAAACGGAAAAGACATAAAAAGTCAAAAATATGAAAGAAACTACAAAAATTTTATAATAGACATGTAATTATAAGGATAATTTATTTTTCTCTAAAGTATATTATAATATTTTAATATCAGTGTGCAGTTAGCGGCATATCTGCTTAGAGTGCTTTAGGGTAGAGCATAAGGATGAGATTGTTGGGTGAGTCAGTCACCTCGAGTATAAGGACTTGTGTATTATAAGATCTATCTTCAGTCAGTGGCAGGGAGGACTAGGGGTCCGCGTGAGAAAAGAAGAGTGATGTCAGCTCAATAATTTTAGCTGAGTTAGAGGTTTCTTGTAGGGTCTCATAGGAGATCGTCAACCCCACCAACAGTGGTGAGCTTTAGAAGCTCTGGTAGAGTTTCAGATTATTCAGAGTGCAAGTGTTGTGATGAAAATCAGTGAGAAAGATGTTATTTCTATGCTTAGACAGACGAGTAGTGGAGTAGATCGATCAGTTCTCGATTTAGGTTGGAAGATCTTGGAGAGACAGGGTCAAGACGTTGATGTCGAAGATAAGATATCAAATAGATAATCCAAAAATTTGGATCCGAATGGATAGTAGGTGAACCTTAGTAGATTAAAAGAGGTTACCCTAGAATATCATTGAGGGCTTAGATAAGACTCGATAGTCGACCTTAGGGTAGTTGTTAACTCAAGTGTTGCTCGACCTTAGGATTTCGGGATTCAGAGTCAGAAGGATAGGTGGTTGTTCCTTGTTGAGTTGAAGATCACTCTAAGAAATGTTTAGCTATAGAATCTCACCCTTGTGTGTTCTCTAGATGAGTATTCTTACTCATGGTCTTGCTAGATACGAGACTATAAGGACGTCTTTATATCATCAACAAAGGGTTTGTGTAATGGACCCACAGAGAATTAGTACTCCCAGGTTCAATCTTGGAGGTAGAAACCTCCATGAGAGTGTTAAGAGTGCTTAGGTTACTCTTTCCAGTATAACAATCACCCCATTGTCAGAAATATCAAAATATGTCTTAGCAAGTGCCAAGGCACTTCAGTTGCTAACTGGGTGTAGATGCCCCAAGTACTCGCAAGGAGTAAGTTAGTAGGTGTATATTCTAATGTAGCAGTTCTAGAATTTCACCCCATATTCTAAAGGTACTATAGGTGTTATAGTGAGTTATGAGTCTTGAGATGCATTGAACCCTCATACGTCACCAGGATGCCTTCTTGCATGAACAATAAGTGAATAAGCTAAGTGAGCCAAGACTCGTGAGTGGTGTCTTCTTGTTGGTATATGAGTGCGAACTATATACAACACATAACAGTAGTCAGTGTTGTGTACTTCCGAGAATTTTAGTGCTTCAGACTTAAGGAGATCAAGTACGTTAAGCTACATTTGACTAGCGTTAGCGGTCATTGGATAGCTTATTAGTGGTAACCGATAGTGAGTGTCAAACGTAAAGTCTCAGAATTGTTAGTCAAAGTGTGGTTGTGACAGATCTCCGCTTTGTGAGGTATGTTCTCTGGGAGAGCTAAATGTTTCTAGTTTCGCTCTATAAGTGGCTGATTTCCAGTTGTGACACCTTAGATGCTTGATCAGGTGAGTAGAGCGTATGAAAGTCGCACGGTAAATGAGAAACAGTCAGGTACCGTGGGTGAATATTAAATTAGAGTTGCATAAGAGAAGCGTATATATCGATGTTAGAAATTCGAGATTTGTCGTTACATCTTCAGTAGTTGGTATCGAGACAATGTTGGCAAGTTCCATAAGATCTTAAGGTATCGCATGACGAGTCGTCTATGTTCAGCAAATTAAATAGTTTATTGGGTTACGTAGAGAATGAACTCAATTGTGTAAGATTATTCATAGAAGGATTTAACGATAGCAGTGATTTTTGGAATTGCGTCATCCTTGTAGAACGTTCCGAGCACATAGTATCAGATAACAAGGATGTGATGTCTTTAGCTTTGTGCTTCTCAAAGGTTTTTGCTTAAAGTTCAATTTTCATAGTGCCTTCAGAAAATCGTAGATTGATTTGGCGAGTTCCAAGTTGCAATATCATATTGTGAGGACTTCTTCCTTGAGAATCAGATTTATTAATGTTTAAGAACTTTGAGAAGAACTTTGAGATTTTTAAGTGTTCGACCTAAGGATAGGTCGTTTTTCAATCCAAGTAAATTTCGAGGACATAATTTCTTTTAAGGAGGGGAATGCTGTAACACCCCAAATTTTGGGCTAGTAGTTTCGAGTTTACTCGAGAGGTAAGTGTACCTTGCATAATTTATATTCAAGTAGTTGGGTTTAATTGGGTTGGACGTGGGCCAAATTATCAATAAAAAGGGGTTTTTGAATAGTAGAAAGATGAAGAGGGACTAGTAGAATAATTAGCTCATTTTAAAAGATGGAGACTTTTATATCTTCTTCCATTTTTTTCTCTTCACTTTGTTCGTTCTCATTTTCCTCCTTCCATTTTTTCTTCTCCAAGTTTCATAGTAAAAAGGTACGATCTTGGACCCTTTTTATTCATCAAATTGTCCATAATCCTCCATTAAACGTGTATTAATGTTTCAAAGCCTTGGGTTCTTTAGGTGTAAGAAAATTTAGGGGTTTTATCATCCAAGTCATGGTAAAGGATGATTTTTAGTTAAAAGAGCTCTATTTCAAGATTTAATCATCAAGGTAATGTATTTCTAATCCTTTGGAGTATTAAGTTTTCATTAATTTCAAGAAATTGCTAGGATTTGAATATTTGAGTATATTTAGGGTTTACCTTTGATTTCATGATCAAACCATATTTTAGGTATAAGAAAGTGTTTTTATGATACCTTATGACCCTAATTAACTCTCTAAAGCTTCAGAATATGATTAGGAACCAAACTAAGTTATTTAGGATGATTTTTGGGTGATTTGTTAGCCTAAATAAATTATTTAAGGGTTCGAGTATCGATACTGGGATGAACAATATCAATACTGGTTAAATTGGGGCTAAAATTAAGGACTTCATAAGGGAGTATCGATACTTCCAGGGTGAGTATCGATATTATCCCTGCAGTATCGATACTCAAGGTAATGATATCGATACTGAGGTCCCTTTTTCGTAATAGAATGTATTTTTGGTACTGATACTCATAGGGGTATCGATACTTGACCCTAAGGTATCGGTACTACAATTACCGTATGGATACTACCCCCTTGTATGATCAGATTCGACCCTATTAAGGTCCGTAAGAGCTAGGGACGGTTTGTAAGGACAAGACTTAGTCCGTGAAGGATGTAAATAACCAAATAGGCCTAGTGAAACTCGTACGGGTGGGTTACAACCAGTATAACCATAGCAGGCATAATGTGATCAAGTATCTTTCGTTGAACACGTAACAAATAACTAAGAATGAAGGATTTTTGCTCAGTGAGTACCGACAACCGGTATGATCAAATAATCATATTATGAAACAGTAGAGTCGTTTTTCGCAAGATCGACCGAGAGTGTTGGACGTACAATTATCATTTTTATTCGAGGGCGGATTAAGGGAAAGTATAGTAATAGCGAATAGAGTATCGCTACCCAGAAATGAACCCGATTCAGATATTGAGCCAACTAGAACCACAACCGGTAAACAGTAACCACAGTAATCGTCGTGAAGTCCTGAAACGCATAGAGACTTATATAGAGTCCGAGAATGATTAAAATTCCCTTATGTAGCAAACAACAAGATCAGTACAGATTATCAGTAATAACAGTCTAATAAAGACTCACTTAACATTCTAGATGAGAAAACGAGCGAGATAACAACTAGAAAGAGTAATAAACAATAATAACTCAGAACAACTAGAAACAGTAATGTAGACACCCAGTTTCATCTGGAACTTTGTTATGAGTTTTAATGTATTTATATATATTATAGTATATTTTTGAAAATACGATTTTTGATAATATATATATGGTATATATATTATAATATATAGTATATTATTATATAGTTTTTGAAATATATATTATTATTATTTGTATTTTATTTGTATTTGTATTTTTTATTTACCATACATTTATTTATTATTTTATTTTTTAAATCCAAAATAATGTCTAAAGTTCAAAATTCCAGATTGGGGTCTAATAAGTTAAGGTCCAGTGCAAATTCTCAAATCAACCTAACCCAATAGATTAGGGAGGTCCAGCAGAGAAGGCGAGGCAGGCCTAACAGAGACCATTCAGGGAACCCAAGGAGCCTGACCCAACACCATAAGGTTTCCACATTAAGCTCTAGCTTCGTACGGATAAGAGCTATCGGATCAAGGAACGAATGGACGACCAATATTATAATTATATAGGGTTATAAAAACTTAGTGTAACACCCCCAACCCGTACCTAACCCGGATACGAATCCGAGGTGTCACATTAACTATTTAAAAGCATGTACATTTATAAAAATAGAGAGAAATTCAGATTTAATTTAAACCTACTAAATAATTTACATATATTACTCAAAAAGTTTACAAAAACTGTTCAGAGCTTATACAATTTAATTCTTTGAATACATGTCAACACTATTATACAACAAGAAAACCTACTATTAATTCTTCTGATCTGATCCTTGCAAAAGTTACGTTGTCTCCTCTGCCTATCTTCTCTTTCTGAAAATCTTGGATCCTACGTGTAAAACACTCACGCGCTAAATCATAGACTTAGTGAGACACGTAAATAAATAATGGAAACTATAACTACTCAACAAATGCATGTACATTTATATAACCCAATACTTATATGCATACATATCAGTACTATCACTATTAACATGACTTTCATTTATTAATATACTTATATGTCTTATATTTAACAATACACATCACATCAAATAATTATTGTAATACAATTCACATCACAAAGCATATATCTCTTATATCCTACACTTGTTTAGATCGCTCTTTAATAGCCCATGTATACTTTTGAGAACTTAAGGTATGTGAGTACATAGAGGTTGTGCACATATGCTGTCACCATAGCTCGTATAATTCCCACTAGGGGAACATAGAATTTGTCCCGAATGACCATATAGATTATCCCGAAGGACCACATATAACACATATATCCCAAATGACCACTCCTTAAGGACCACATACATATTCCAATGGACTAAATAGGTGTACCGAAGTACCGCATATATGTTCCAAAGGATTACATATATGTCCTGAAGGACCACGTAGACCCTCGACTCTTGGCATGCCAACTATACCCCTAGCTCTGATAACACATAACATGAGCATTATTATTATGCTATCACACATTCACATAGTCACGCAGTTCACTTACATGTAGATCATTTCCATATGATTCACATGTCACATGTCACATGGCTTATATCTCTTGATCATTTAATCACATAACGTCTTATCAAATAGCTCATAATCATATACATGTTCTCATATAGTTCATATCCTTTCTCCCATAATCACATAATTTAATTATATCATTTAACATAAGTTATCATACCAACAGACATTCACATAACTCATTTAACATACATAGTACATCATGTAACTTATACAATAACTTATGATACATATACTTACATTCATATGCTCTACATGCTTGTATTCTTGTACTCGTATAATTTACTATCAGAATTAAACTCATCGTAAGTCTTAATTCCATAGCCTAACTTACACTTAATATCATGTACTCACCTTGGTTTACTTGCCCATATCAATCTCTTGTTTCCCTTTCGTAATTCTTACTCTGATGGCCTATCCTAACTTTGTTTTCGATCGATATCTACACGAATATAATCCATTTAATATAGGGATTTGAATTACTTGATAAGATTCATACCAAAGCAAACTAAATAAAACACTAATTTCTACTTTTCAGCTTAAGTAGTATTGGTACTACCAGTACAATACCGATACTTCTATGCTATGGTACCGATACTCCCCTCCAGTATCGATACCAATATTAGATTTGATGTTTATTGATATCGATACCCTCTCCACGGGTATCGATACTCCCAGTATCGATATTATCACTTCAGTACCTATACCTCATGAATATTTATTATTCTTTTTCCATATGGTATCGATACTGTTAATGCATTATCGATACCCTACATATAATTTTCCCATAATTTTCCTTGTAGTATTGTTACTCACTCAACCAATATCGATACTACTAGCCCATAATCTATTTCTTCAACCCGAAAATTCCAACACTTTACCTGAAACTCTACTTATTTGGCTCTCTTCATGCTTTTAAACTTAACTATACATACTTAAACTATCATATATCACTATAACACCTCATTATCCTTAATAACTCACTTTAACTCTTGAATTTAAGAATTTTACTAAACTTTCCATGTGTTCTAAATTCAATTCTAATGCTTTAAACTTCTTAATCCTTATAATGACAAGTTTTATCAACAGAACTTCAAAAAACCTCTTCATACCAATAATTCATTTCTACACCCTTATTATAATTCCCATTCTAATTATCTCTTCTTGATGTTTTGATCTTATATAAGCTTTCCTTAAGCTTATTTAACACCCAAAGAATAAGTCCCAACTTAAAAATCCATGAATTAACTAGCTAAAATTAAACTAACATTTGAGATGGAGCTAACGTGAAGAAGAGGAAGAAGGCAAGAAGAAAGGTTCTAGATTAATCCCAATTTCACGTATTTATCTCCTATTAAAGGGGATATAATATCTTTTAGGCTGAGAAGATTATAATACCCTTTACTCCTTCTATATTTACTATTTAATCCAATATTAATATATTCATATTTAAGTCCTTGAACTTTCCAATGTTTCCTGAATTGATAACCAAATTTCAAAAACTTTCATTTTAGTCACTAACCCGGTATTGAAGATGTTACACCTAGATTTTATGGCATCATGCGCAGCCGATCCATAACCGTTGGATCCAACAGCCACGATTACACCGTTAAATCAACACGCAAACGAAGACACCAAACAAAAGGCACTTTAGGCAAGAAATGAACAACCATGGCAACCAAATCACCATAAACAAGGAAACAAAACAAAAATCACAAAATAATGGCAACCCAAAAACCATATAGATTCAAGATAGAACAAAAAGGGAAAACATCCCCTTTTCTAAGCAAATCAAAGAGAAAATGGGAAGTAATCCCCCTCGTCCGAATCAAGTCCCACAGATCTTGGGACAAACATATCATCATATTTAAAGGGATTTGTCATTTCCCGAGCTGTATATAAACCTGCAAAGAGAAGAATAAGGGTGAGGTCAATGAGGAAGCATTCGAAATCCACCAAAAAAAGGAAAAAGGAAAGGGGAAGAAAACACTTAGCTTTGTGCTTCGTCGCTGCAATTGGGAAGATGATCGGCTACTGGAGAAGGTGAACGATCATCGTTGGAGTTGAATTGTCACCCAAAAAGGTAAGGGGCGAGAACTTTGGGTATATATCTACGCTAATAGGGGCATTGTATGTATGTTTGGGGGCTAGATTTAGGTTTAGGGTGTATAGAGCTTTTGAACGGGGAAGTTTAGGGGTCCACGACCACCGTGGACTGTGGCCGAGGCGATAGTCAGAGCTAGGTTGGTAATGTAGGGCCACTGGATTCTAGAAATGATGGAGACTATGTGAGGGAATTTCGAGATCATTTTAGAGAAAGTTTTTGATGTTTTTTAAGGGAATGTTTGAAAATGACAAAAAAGAAGAAGAAGGAAAGTTGGGTTTTAAATAGAGGGGACTCGAGTATAATTATGAAAATTTTAAATTATTTACGCAGTTCTCATTAGTTTAATGCGTAATTCATTTTGGTTACTAAACTTGTAATTTGAGCCCTTTGGTTTTATTTTTAATGCAATTCGGTTCCTGATTTCATATTAATTATTTTATTTCTTTTCTTATTTATATATTATTATGACATTTCTTTTAGTGTGTCTAATTAATTTAAATTGTGTGCCTTTTAAATATTAAAGCATGATCATTAAATTGTTTTATTGTATGATGTTGTATTTTAATTTAAGTCTTGATTAAATGATTTTATGAATTGCATATCATTTTAATTTAAAAAAAACATACTATCCCCATCAACATTACTCCATTATTTTACATAATAAATTAAAGGTCGTGTGCATTCAATTTAAATTATTTAAGAGGGTTATCCTAATCCACCTTGGTAGTTTGATTCGATAATTTAAAGTGAATGAGTACCCTCAAGTGAAACAAATAAAAAATTGATAATCTTTAAAATCAATTAGAATGGTAGAAAAGGAAATGTTCCCATATTTAGACTTGTCGAAAATGAGCCTTTCGACCCTATTCATAGGTTTAGGATTGATACTTCTAAATATGCTAACATTCTTTATCTATCTTAAAGGACAGGTAATCCTATTAACAAAAATTCCGCTTGTTGTATAACTTTAGGAAAATAAATGCCATGAATTAGATATTCATTGTTTCCTTCTAGGGAATTGTCACTTTACCTTATATTAGGTGGTGATTCCCTTACGGTTAGAAATATTGGAACGTCAATTAAAGTTTTCGATGAAGGGAATAGTGATTAAACGATTTATTTGGGAATGAAACACAATTCTTCCTCATATAAGTTTGTTAACTTTCCCCAATTAATTGTTCGAATCGTCAGAATCCATAAGTTCCATTGCAAAGACAATAATTAATTGATTAGATACCGTTTTTCGGGCATTGTGGGGGTGTTAATCATTCCCCACGCGTAATCGACTCCTGAACTTATTTTTCTGGTAAGCAGACCAAAAAAGTTATTTTAATAATTTTTTAAAATTTAATTTTCTTAAAATAACAACATTTTGGGTGATCCAATCACATCCTAAACAAAGATTGGCGGCAACTCCATCGAACCACATTTTTATTTTTAGTCAAAATAAACCCCTAAAATCAATCCCTCAAATTTTCAGGATGTTACGACAACATGACGACTCTACTGGGGATTTTAGAGAGTTAGGCCATTAGTTGATTAATCTTTGTCTTTGCAATGGAAATTATTGATTCAACATAATTTAGTTTTTGATCCCTTGGTTGTGCTTGCTTTTTTGCATTCATCTTTAGAAAACCCTAGTGATATATACATAATTGTCATTGTCTATATTGAAATGTGTATTCATGAACTTTTAGATTATTAGGTTGTGTGGATTTGTTTTGTTCAAAGATTTTATACCTTGTGTATTGTAAAGGTAGGTAAATTTCTCCTCGTACACTCACTGAATTTGCATGACATGAACCCTATACTTAGTTGTCCTTTTTAAGTGAGGGTGAAAACGACGTCTTCATTAGTAAGTAACCTTCAGTGTCCATGGATTATGTCTTCGTGAGATATGTTTCCATGTGTCAGGCATAAGGAGGTGCATCATCTCGAATTTGACTTGATCTATATGAGCTTATGATGGGTTTAGGATCGAGGGTCTGCCAAATCCCAGAGGGCACCAACAAGGATAATTCAAGTACCTTTAACCCTAGAGCCTAAACCATGCATGTAATATACCCTATAAATCTACTTGTATCAAAACCATGTCAAACCTATAGGAATTCCCTAGTAGATGTACACAAAGGAGAAATCGATCTATATCATTTTCCTTTATTTTTCAAGCAACAAACATGCAAACTAGAAATCATGTTGTTAGGATAAAGCATGGGGGTATAAATCATGTGTGGGTAGGATTTTATATTTACCATGACAAGAGTAGAAAACTTGTGGGGTAGGATTTACTGCCTTTATCTGTTATTTATTGTTTTACTAACTCATTTCCTTTTTGTTTCCTTTGATTTTACTTTGCCTATTGCATCACATTAACATATTATAAGAGACATTGATCCATGAATATCCCATCAAATTAGAAAGGTTTTGAAACAATAGTCCTCAAAGCATTTAGCTTCATATTTAAAAGTGTATGCTTGGTCAAAAGCAACATAACATGAGCATGGAGGTAGTCCACTACTTTATTTCACTCGAATTGATTCAGAGGAGTCCCTCCTACAAAGGCAAGCTCAATGGTGACCGAAAGACTCAAGAGATATTCATGAAGAGAATGAGACATCACATGATACAAGCTGAAGCCATTCAAGCCCACACTAAGCCTAGCTTGGACTATGAATCACTTGGCTCAACAAATGAGAGGGGCTAAGCCGTATCTTTAAGGGAACTATTTGCAATATTTGGTACTTTTCTTTCTAATGAAAGTTGTTCTATGATGGGGCACTATTTAGATTAATGTCTCTTCTTGCATTGCATATTGCATTCATTTCATAAAGCATTGAATTGATTTTATTTATATGTTTTCATATTATAACATGCATGCATGTTAAAAAAGAGAGATAAATTACTAATAAAGATAATGTTGTCTAACTGAAAAGATAATGACCGATACCACATCTCATCCTTACAACACTCATTTTCAAACAAGAAAGATGAATGCCAGATTAAAGAAAATGGAAAACAATATCGCCATGTTATAGAAAGATATGTAAGAGAATAATAAATCCACCATTGATACCATCATAAAGAATCAAATTAGCTTGGTCAATCAGATCGTGGCCAGGCTAGAAGGAATGAGTTTTGTAAGTGCTCATGGGGAAGAGAGATCTAAAGAAGTAGTGGTCATGCCACCACCACCAAAATTGGTGATCACACCTAAGAATTTTTTAGGGTACCATGGAGACGCTTCTGCCTCAAAGGGGAAAGTGACGATAACCATTTGTCATGAAGACTGTCGTATCCCAGACTTTGACGAGGAAGATAAGTCTATGAAGATGAAGAATAAAATAAATCAGTTGGAAGACTAGATAAAGGTCATGAAAAGAGAAGAGGATTTCTATGGGATTGATGCCTCGGAGCTGAGTCTGGTCCCAGACCTAATCCTTCCCCCTAAGTTTAAAGTCCCAAGCTTTGAAAAATTCGATAAGAGTAGCTGCTGTCCCTATAGTCATATCAAAATGTTCTATAAGAAAAAGACAGGACATATAGGAAATGATCAATTCCTGATTTACTGCTTCCAAGAAAGTTTGACAGATTCAACAATCCGTTGGTACAATCAATTGGACCAAATCCATATCAGGTCATGGAGAGACCTCGCTAGGTCTTTCCTGGAACAATACAAACATGAGAATGACACGAGACCCTACCGAGTGATGCTTCAAGAAATAGAAAAAAAGCCCAATGAGAGCTTCAGATAGTACACACAATGGTGGAAAGACGTCACTTCAGAATTTCATCCGCCCTTAGATGAGAGAGAAACAAGGAAACTCTTTGTACACACTCTCAAGGCTTCATTTTTCAGTCACTTGGTGGCAATCACTTCTGAGAGCTTCACAAGCATTTTGATGGTCGATGAAATGGTAGAGACAACCATCAAGTAAGGGAAGATATAAGGGAATGAATCCCATAAGAGACCATCATCATGGAACAATCAATAAGAGGTCAACAACGTCACTATCTCTCAACCAAAGTCAACTACAACTGTATCATCAAATCCTTCAAGCCAATTTGACCTTATTTATATTTTGTATGGGGAGATATTTCAACAACTCTATGAAAAGCATATGATATCTCCCTATCCATTGGATCCCCTAAAACCACCGTATCCTAGGTGGTGTGATGAGAGCGCACATTACGAATAACATGGTGGAATACCATAGCATTCCATCGAAAGCTGCCCCACATTTAAGATGGCTGTCCAAAGGCTACGAGACAGAAATCATATTCATTTCAACAATTCCAATGAGTCTCAAAGTTCTAATCACAGAGAAGCGGGGGGTTAACGAATAATGGAAGGGTGATAAGTCTGGAGTTTTCGCATTAAGTTGTGTTGCATGAAAATAATTTGTCTTATTTTGATTTGACTTGTTTTCTTATATCTAAAATTTTTATCATTGGATAAATATCATTTCTTTGATTATGAGCAATGAAGCATTTTTGAAATTAAGTGAATATCAAATATATTGAAGTGCACATTTGAGAATTGAGGTTATAGCCTTTTGACATGTAACAAGATAAAAATTCCAAAAAAATATCCATTATTCATTGGCTCATCCTCATACTCAATTTTATTACCCAAAGAAAGATTCCCCCACACAAGTAAGCCATCAGTTGCTCAGGTAAGGATGGAAGCGGACAAAATGGGGCATCATTGATTCATGACAGTGCATATTGTTTAGTTTACATATATGTTAAGGATGTTTGGTGACGGTTTACAATCTTCACAAATGGAATGGTGGAGTAGACGGATTTGGATTAGGTCAGTTGCTTGGAAATTGAGCTTTAAGGATAAAATTTCCTTTCACAATAATCAGACTATAACAGATTCTTCTTGATGAGCTTAAAAAATATTGAAATAAAAACTCAATGAACAATGTGGTACTAATGAAAGTTAATTTAAACATTATTGGGGCACTCTGCTTATAGTAGTAAGCTGTTAATCTTTGGAGGTAATATCTGAAACAATTAAGTTTTGTTTAAGTTTGTCAAGTTGAAGACTTTCTGACACTTTTATCCTTTAATTAAGGGTATTCTGCTAAAGTAATAGGTCATGTCAATTGCCCTAACCTTATGAATACGATTACATTCAGATCATGACACTAGTCTCTATGTGTCGAGATGAATCTCCCAGCAAAATCAGAAGCAATGATATCAAACTAAACAAAGCATAATTTAAAGAAAGGTAGTAAAGCCTGAGATAAATGTGATTTGACCTTAGTTTTGATGAAACATGGCCTAAGGAAGTTAGGAAACATCTGTTATAGTCGACTACACAAAAGCACTCAGGAAATTTATTTTTAGATCGATATTTCTACACTATCTCTTCCCATGAAGTATATGAAACTTGAACAAATGGATGATTCCTAAGAACTGAAATAGAAATACTCTCTAAAAAGTCTAGTAATGAAGTGTATCAGTTGTGCTATTTTTGTTCGCATCCTATTTAAAGGCCATGCCATAATTATGGGGCATTCTGAAGATATTCAAAATCCATGAAAACCATAAAACCCTATTAAGATCAAACCAAATTACATGGCCTTTCCAGATCACCCATCGAACTTGACACTTGTCAAAGGGCTATAATTTTGAAATCAGCATGTGTCATTTATTTATTTGATATTCAGTGAACTATATTCTGCTTCAATTGCTCTTACATCATTTTCTTTACCAAACTTTTCAATATTTTGAAAAACATACACTTTTCAGACAAGACATATTTTTCCTCGAAGATCAAATGAAGAACTCAAAATAAAGTAGGGCATCTCTAGCATCCCTTTTCTCCCGTCATTTGTGTCTCCTGATCAAGGTTGACCCTGAAGAAGAAGTGTATCTTTACTATAAAGATTTCTGCTCGATACGGTACAAGATACCTACAACAATGAGTTGGTTGGAAAGAATTTCACCTATGATAGCGAGTTCACTACCGGATCCCTTCCAAATGACAAGCATGAGTTTACTGTTGTACTTGAGTATGCCATATTGAAGATAAACAATGGGAATACAAGACCTGATGAGAATGAAAGCCCAAATGAGCATGAAAGAGATAAAGGCAAGCTTTGATGCCAAGATTCCTAGGTGAGCAATTCAGGGTACTCTGTGAGTACAAGAGTCAGAGAACTTACAAGAAGCATTGAGGGTGCTTGATACAGTTTTTAAGGAAGCATACTCCTAAATAAGGATGTTTTTTTTTGTTTATGACTCATTCTTCCATGACAACCAGAGCAATTTTATAGACATTGGAGGAGGTATCCTTGGTAGTAGAGGTTTTAATTTGAGCTTTCAAGCAGTACAAAGAAACATTTCACTAAATATTGATGTGCCAACTACGATGATGATTCAATTATTTACAGTGGTTTATCATCAATCAAAACGCAAGAGAGCCTGCTCATTCGACTAAGCCAAGGTCAAAAGAGCATTCAAGAATCTCAGGATTAAAGTTATTCCATACAATCATGAGTACAAGATCAC